ATTAATATCTCTCTCCGCGTTAGAGATAACCTCTGTGTGAGTGATACATGATGACATTGACGAGTAATTTAGGTTCAGTACAACTTGGTAGTGAGTTTAAGTATTTGATTGGATATATGAAATGTAAACCCGAGATTTCTCTACTCTTTAAAGAATGAATTCTTTTTCTGTTAATAACTTTAATTCCCACATTTACCTTTTATACAAACTAACTAAATTCAACCCCGAACTCATAAACGCGAGAAATTGTCGAATGGAAATTCAGTATCACTAATCCCTGTGGAGACAATATGATAAATCTATAAAAAAATACTTATTTTTTCTTTCCGCTTTACCGCTTCAGCAGCTGCATGTGCTATGATTCAGGAGGTTTTCCCATGAGGAGGAGAACTAGTTGTGTATGACAGGAGGAGTACCATTGATGTCTGATTGTACAAGCTTCTGAGTTGTGTTGTGTTTATAGAGTTTATATGGTTTTATGCAACTTGTGTTTGTGGTTTTATTCCTCTATCCAGGTTAATTGGCCTTTGGTTGTTTTAGCCAAAATTTTCCAAAGGAGGAGATTGTTAGGTCTGTGATTTTATGATTGGCAACAGTTTTGGGAAAACAAGGAGTTGACAACAATTTTATCAAAACATCTTTCAAAGGGAAATACATGTATTGCAGCCTAATGTTAAGCAAGATGTCATAACATTTTGACCAGCTGGTACATCCGCGTCTAGTGGTACTTATTTGATAAATATTCTATCAGATGTTGTAACATGTTACAACAGAACATCATGACAGTAATGCTAGATAATATCCTTGAAGATTTGATTGAAAAATATGAGATTCTGAAGGTTTCTAGTATTCATAACAGGCGCAGGCAATCAAGGATTTTTAGGAACAATTGCATATTTGATTTATTTCATAAAAAGGATCTTTGAGGCTTTTTAGGAAATATTTGAAAGATTTGTTTTTTTTTGTTTCTATTTTTGTGGAGAAGATTCTGCAGAGATTTACAGCTGAAGATTATATTTGATTGAAGAGTCCAACCCCAACAGAAGAAGTTTATATAAGGAGTTGTCCAAGACCTAGTTTTTAAGTAGCACAATTTTTTTGTAAAACCTTGTGAAAAATAAGGGTTTATGGTTTGATAGTTCCTTAGGTTCTCTGTATGTTTTTTGTACGTCCTCATGTATCTTTTGATGAATTTGAGTTGACTGATTGTTACTTGTTTATCAAGTTATTATTCTCCTTAAAGCTTTTAAGCAAAGAGTTGAGTATTTTTCTTAGTGAAGCTTTTAAGTAAACTAAGTAGTTTGTTTTGGAAGAGTGTTCTTCTTTTTGCTTTCTTGAGACATTCCCTGGGACTGGAATTATTTGATATTACTACGGTGATTGGGAGTGAGAGGGGTTCTCCTATCTAGGAAGTGTCTATGTAGAAGTTGTACTGAGTAGGGATTAAGTGAGAAGGGTAAATTGGGACCGTTCAGTTTCGAATTGATATATACTACTAATAGTGGATTTCCTTCTTGGTTTGGTAACCCTCAGAGTAGGTGAGTTTCACCGAATTGGGTTAACAATTGATTGTTTTCTTTAAGTTTCTGCAAATTTACTATTCTGCATAATCTTTTTGTTTTAGCAAGTCTGTTTTCTATCAGCAGATGTTATAACATTTGTCGTGACATTGTATGTTGTTAAGACATCAGTCTTAACTCCTGATATTGTGTATGCCGGAATATTCAGTAGGTCACTTTTGGTTATGTGGTTATGCTCAAAACAAAACAAAAAATATGCCTTGATCATTTTCATGCTTTCATTCAATTCAACATAATTACAAGATTAAACATAAGTCAATCGAGTTAAAACAAAGAATTGTTTGTCTCCTGAGTATATAGTAAATAATGGAAAATTTCCTCATATTTAGGATTTAATCTAAAGTGATTCAAACATGAAACATGTGGTGCAAAATAATGGATGACATTATATTTATACAAATTAAAAGTTTCATGTTTATGATATAGTCTAGAAAGCAATAAACATGTACTTTCACATTGCACCATCCTTTTAAGCTTTTATCATTACCAAAGCATTTGCTTGTGTATATTTTTGAACTTGAAATAATCACTCAATGCTTCGTCAAGCCATTCAAAGACAAGCTTTGGGAACAAATTCAAATTTTTTGCTAAAACTTAAAAACTTGAATTAAACTAAATTAATTTATTATCTACTTGAAATAATTTAAACAGATCACAACTTGATTAACAAAAACCACCACAAAAAGTTATGTCGACATGAAGTGCCAACCAAAATTCTCACATCCAATGAACAAATATTTGTGGTAAGTGAAAGTGGATTGAAAGCATGGGAAATTTTTTTTACTAGTATAGTAAGGCACACTTAGCGCCAGCTCTGCTGCCCAGAATTTTCAAAATGTCAATCAGTTCTCAACATTGCCATCCATTTTCACTCTTTAAGGCCTAAAATACACAATGCAAAGCTTTTAAATACTTACAAAGTTGGGTTGCCTCCCAACAAACACTTGTTTAACATTGTTAGCTCGGCGCCTTTTTCAAGTAGACGTTCCCTCTTGTTGCTTCTTTTGTTTGGCTAGTTGTTTGCATTCCCTGGTTTTTCTATTGTTCCTTCGGGCGTTTCTTTCAATCTCTGGATCAAAGAGAAATTGTTATGTCGCTATTTTACCTCGCCTAAACGTAAATCATAAATCTAGCAAGCACGAGTTAACAACATGATGGCTATAAGTATATATACAATATTAATAAATGCACAAGCTTAAAATGATAGAAATTATTGCTTTGCTTTAATATATATATATATACGCCAATCCTCGAGAACAATGTCATTTTGATGTTGAGTAATCAAAAGTAAGTATTTGTTTTATTGTATTCACAGGGACTTGTGCAATATTAATACCGTTCAATAGTTAATATGATTTTAAGCGGAAGTTTGCAAGATGTTTGATTATGGAAAGTTACTGAATGTAAAACAGATTAATGATAAAGAAAGTTTTAGAGATATGAGAGCTTTTCAGGATTGAATTTCATCAACCGATAGAATACGTAATTTACCAATCAGTTATACACAATATAAACATTCATCAATATCATCATGTATCACTCACAGACAGAGTTTATGTCTAAACTCCTAATGAGGTTTCGACCTTATCGTCTAATCGACAATCTCTCAGCATACTAAACAATACGAAGACATTATGAATCAATACTTACGATGAATGTTAAATCTAAATATATGTATAACATTTAGTGTGTGACATATGATTATCTTTGATCAAGATTCGAACTGTATTTTTCAATATCAATTCCAATCCATGAAGCTAAATAGTAAATCAAAGATAACATCAATATAGATTCATAAATAGACTGTATATAACACCGTGATCAATAAACATACATACTGTTACGGTGAACTATATCCAATCCCAACAAAAAAGGAATTTAGCTACTCATGATAGCTTGATACAAGAAGGAAGAATGAAGATGAAAGTGCATCAATCGTGATTTTTCGACGATTGATGTGTATCCAGCTTCTGATCTTCATGAATCACCCTTTCCTATTGTTTGACATGTTTCTCTATCTCTAAAATAGTGTCTATATCTAAAAATCTGAAATAAAAAGGTATTTATAGCAGTATGAAAAAGTCACTCGCGCTCAACCTCGTGCTGTTGCGCTGAATGCAACACCCTCCAAATGACTTAAATCGCTATAAATGACGCTCAACGCAGAAGTCTCTGCTTTGGGTGCTTTTCACATGCTCAACACGGCTCAAACTTGGAGACATGCTTTGCATGTGCTCAACATAGTCCTGCAAACCAAAGTCCTTCCTAAGCATAAATACCTACAAAATGAGGTGCATTTGATTAAACTAAACTATTTATTTGATAACATACTAGAGCTAGTATTTACATAATAGTTGATGTTTTGACTTCAGAATCCGATGAATCAAATTAATAAGTGCTACTATTTCATATACCAATATTCAACACAATTTAATCCTTATCACCTCTCCTATTTTTAAAATCTAAATTCAAATTTCACTCTTTAAAAATTTTTTTTAGGAGTAACTTATGACATTATTTTTTTTAAAGTTTTGCGTTGTTAGGAGTTTTACTTCTTTCTACTTACATTTTTAATTCAAGGGATTTTGCTACTAACATAAATTCATGGCAAAGGAGACACTTTCTTGTAGTGATACACCCAAACATAATACTAATCTTACTAAAATGGTTTCTTTGCAATACACCAAAATAATTTATGGGCTGTGTGAATAGAGCCACTACTAAAAGTTAAAGATTCTAACAACTGAGTTAATATAAAAACAAAACAAAACATGATTTTCACCCATATAAAACAAATAAAGTTTGGTTTTAATTCCCATAAATACTTTACTAGGTTTTTGTCTCTTTAAAATATTACATTATTTTTTTTTATCCCTATCAATATGACGTTTTCATTAACCTCGTGTGTTTACGAAAGGTCATCTAATCATCCTATGTGTGTCACATATTTTCCTTTTAGCCCCAAGGGACAAAACCAAAATTTGTTAATTTTACATTAAAAATCAACAACTCCCAAATTTTTAGTGTTGTAAATTTCTGAAAATATTAACATAACAAAAAATTTACTAATATTTATCTATTAAAAAGATTTTTAATTCATTCTAAACTACCCTTTAAAATTGAAAGAATAAAAAACAAAAATATGACTATTTAATTATTTGTATAGTTGACTTCCCCTTTTCTTAATCTATCAATCACAAAACTCCACTAGAATGTGGAAACCACTTAAAAATAACAAAATGCACCCACTACCAATTAATTCCAATCTAATCTTAGAGATTCCTATTTGAGTTTAAAAAAGTCTTAAACTACTCTTTCATTTCACCAAAACCCTTTGAACATGTCTCACATAAATTCCAATCTTATATTTATAAATATACACATAACATAAATATACACATAAACTCTCAATTTATAAACATGACAAAGCCTTCAAACTTTCTCCATAAACCTTCTCCCATAATTGAACAAAGACAAGAGAACAAGAACATGATGTGTTTAGATAAGCAACTACAAAGACAATTATCCAATATTTCTAATGAAGATTACCATGGAAACAAATTTGCTTCAATCCCTTTTGTGTGGGAATCTCAACCAGGTACACCTAAACATAGATCAAATGCTAATTCTCTTCCTCCTCTTACTCCTCCACCCTCTTATTTCCAAAATGCTAACAAAAAACCAACTAAACCCAAAAAAAACTTTTTCTTGCAAACATTCTTCCCCAAACGTGCTACTAAAAAAGGTTGTGTTCTTGATCCGTCTCCGACATCCTCAAACTATGTTTCTTATTCTTCATCGTCGTCTTCATCATCATCATCTTTGTCATTATCTTCGCCGAGGCCAACATCTTATTCGGTGCCATCTTCTCCTATGATACATTCGAGGAAAGGGGAAGAAGATGAAGATTCGTATCATGTTTCTCGATCTAATGTTACTTTTGGTAATGGTAATGTAAGATCACAAGGGCGTTATTCTTCCATGTTCAAGAAGGTATTGTTTGGAGATTTAATGTAATGTTTATAACCTACTTTTCTCTATGCTTATGGTTTTATATTTAATTAAGCTTTGCAAGCTAGAACTAGAAAAGATTCTATATGTCAAACTTTTATTAGTTCGTATCATATACAAGAAATTTAAACTTTGTTAAATATAGTTTGCATAGTATATATCTTCATTCTCCTAAATAAGATTTAATAATTTAGTTAAATAATATAAATTAATTTTACACCATCATCATTATCAATAGATATAGATATGTATTCTACCAAAAAATATTTATATTATTAATAACCTTTTATTAGACTTTAGTGTAAAATTTCTTATTAACGATGCATATTTATTAGACTCATATTTTTATTTTATAATTTTAAGTATTAGACTTAAATCAACCTTCTATGATTGATATTTTGAATGCCTGAAAATGTGATTGCAGAAAAGATATATTACTTTAACATTGATCTTTAAAACGGTAATTTAATAAACATTGATAAAAACCTTACACTTTTTTTTTTATAAAATATATTTATAATTATTTTTAAAATAATAAGAGTTCTTCTTTAGACCTTTTTATAGAATTGATATTAAAATGCACTACATTTTTACATTGTGTATCTTATAAGAATTATTTTTACTAACTATTAGTCATTTTAAAGTTCAAGGCTATATTAATAAATTTGTGTCAGTTATACTCTTAATTGGCTCAATGTAAAATTGAACTGTAAAGAGCATAATAAAAATATGATTTCTATTAATTATGAAATAAAAGTTTTATGGAATTTTTTATTAGCACAGAAAATTTTTTAAATTAAACAAACAAATAGAATTTGATCCTTTCCAGCGTAATATTCATTCTAATTTCCTTTCTCATATGTGTGATTCGCCACTTTAACGAAAGTGATTACTGCCACTAAAAAGCATCTCTAAACTAGCGATTCTAATCATTTTTTTTATATTTTTTTCATTGTATTTGTTAAGCTCTACCTTTCAATATAAAACGACAATACTAAATTTACAGTTATTAACTTTTTTTAAACATCAATAATATTTTCAAATATTGATGCCTAAACATAAATAATTCATCTTTGTTCGATAAGTTGTATTGTGAAGAAAGAGAATCACATATGGATGGTAATGGATAGAGTTTGAGTATCATTCTCATATTTGTAATTTAAAAAATTCTCATACTTAAACTCATATTCACGTGAGCAATAACATTTATACTTGTGCTTGTATGTTATGGATGTTAGACAATAGGCTACAATCAAGAAGGGTGTTGAATAGATCATAAATAATATTTTCAAATTAAAATTTTGTTTAAAATGTTTTAAACTATGGCGCACGGAAAAAAATTCAGATCGACAATGGTCTATCCGAATCGTTATTGAAATTCGGGTATTCACATCACATATTTTCTAAGAGATGTCGAGATATCGATCTCTAAACAACAACACAATGAACAATATGAAACAATAAATAGTATAGAAAATAAACAACACGCAGAATTGTTAACCCAATTTAGTGTACAACAACACCTACTCTGGAGGCTACCAAAGTCAGGGACAAAGTCAACTAGATAATATCAATGTAGACCCACAAAAAAACTTTCACCTAACTTACAATCTACTCACTTAATCACTACACGTGCTTAACTTCTACCTAAGACTCACCTAGGTATGAGACCTTTCTCAAATCCCTTCCAGTCACAAGACAGTGACAAGAACATAATTCAAAAGAATGACTTAGAAGACACACTTCAAAGACACACAACCATTCAATGCTTAAAAGCTTGAGAATGATTGATAGAAGTTACAACTCAATAGAGACAATCCTAATCTTCTATCAACGAGATACTATAGAGGCTCACAATAAATAAAATAGTCCTAATACATTCACTAAAAACTCATTGTTCAATCAACACAAAGAAACCCTTAAAATAACATTTTGCAATGCTACACAACGCACTATTTCTTCCACACATGTACTAGGGTTGAAGCCTTCTTTTTATAACCTTGAAAGAATTGGATTTGGGCTTTAAAATGCAGCTGATTTGTTGCAGAAAATCAGCATAAACTTTTGCATGAAAATATGGTTTCACATGATTTGTTTCCTAAAATGTCTCAACATTTAATAAAACAAATTAATCTTCTAACTACAGAGCAAATATATGATTCTTCAGTTTTGGACGCCACTTAGGATTACTTTAAAACACATGTATCCAAGTTGTAACTCAACTATAACATATAAGATGTCATATACTTCTAGTTAGGACATCGCATTTAACATGTTGAAATAGCAAGTTGAAACATCTTGTTCGGCACATTTCTACTAAGTTAGTTTTACCAAAATTAATGTCAATTACAGAAACACGAAATAACAATCTCTCTCTTTGATAAATTTTGGCTAAAACAACTAAATATCCCATAACACATCATAAAGATAGATATCAGAGCTGCAACATCAGAAATCAATACATCAGAGAAATTTATCAGATTATCGCCTATTGAAAGCTACTCACATAACATAGATTCAACTTCTCAATCATGCTAGGACACCATGCCTGACATCTCTTCACAGCAACCCAAATAACCCATTTGGTGAAAGTTCTGATACTCCTCCTCAGCAAACCCATGATGCACTAAAAAAGTGCTGAAGTCATTTGGTGTACATGAGGAAGAAAATAGTTGATAATCCCCCTTAATCCATGACGCTTTACTTGCAACATAGGGATAACACTTCCTCTTAGGTGTCATAAGATAACCCTTAAGAAGCAACCAAACATCCTCCTGAACTATCCAGATGATGACTCTGGGTTGCAGCATGCAACTCCAGATAACTCAGAACACAAGTCACAATTGTGTTCATAACTCAAATCACAAGACACAAAAACAAAATCAAACAAACTCAAAATCGAACATCCTATCCGACATCTTTGAAAGTGACCTGTAAGAATCGACTCTAGACGTAAAAAAAGAGCAGAACCAAAATCAGAACAAACCAGAACTTTCTCCCTATTTTTAGCCAAAAATTGACAAACAAATCCACCACAAGACCATACCCAAATCGTACTCATCCAAACCCGGACAAAAGTCATAAGTACTATGTTAGAAGACAACCTAACACACGATGAAAGAAGGAAACCCCTAATCACTGTAAATGCCCGAGCAAATACTTAGGAATCAATTACCCTCGACTGTAACAATGGTCTTGGTCAAGGAGAACGTTATTTGAGGAAGATAATTGCATCAGAGTGTGCACCGTCCAAGTAAGTTTTGAATGACTTTATTTTCTCTGGACTGGTTCTCCTGAAACTGATAGTCCCAATAAATGCACATGCATAGACAAAAACACGTGTCACACATCCTCCTGACTCTTACTTGATTACACCGTCCAAATTGTTAATCTCAAAAGAAATAAGTTTTGAACAATGTCCTGACACATTTCATGATGAGTCACCTATAACATCTGCCTTTCTTCACAATAGTGATCAATCATTCTCCCTTATTTTAGACAATTATCCCCCCCCCCTCAATAAGAAATCCCAAGACACAAGATAATCCAAAACAACAATCTAATATGAACTTCCCAAGTTCACACACCAGGAAAGATGTCATAACATTTTATGGAACATCATGCACACACACACACACATGTTACCATCAGCAGAAGCATACTATAGTCTTGGGAATAGGACAAACTCGATCATCTTCAGGTGGTCTTCCACCTCTTTCCCCTATCAAATAACCTCCCCTTGAATCTTTCACATGTTTTAGAAGTTTTACTCCTAACCTTTCTTGTCATCACCTCAGACAAAATTTTCTTTAAGTCATCCCTTTGCATAGATCTTTCGTTCCACCCTGTTGTATCCCAAAATTTTCTCTCTCATTTTACTCAATACATGCCCATTGAGATCCTCAATTTGCTCAAGATTGCCCAAGAGTTAACCAGACAAACTCTCTCCTAAGGCAGTGTACCTCAAATTAGGGTTTCCATTTTCATCAATATTGGTGAACCAAAAAGGCCTAATATGCTCTCCATGGTCTTAATATGTTCTCAAGACCTTACATGTCAAGTTTCATGCCTTGCACAAGAAGTTTGCTCAGTCAACTGCTCAGATACTTGAGAATCGACTGTATTAGGTCAAAAGTCAACTGTGGCCCACATACAGTCAAACTTCAAGATTTTTGGTCAACATCCATATTTTGAAGTGAATTTCATCATTTTATCAAGGGTTGATCATGATTCCCAAAGGAATGCTCCAAATTCATCAAAACCCAAAAGTTGCTAAATTAGGGTTTCTTAGTAAAAGTCAACCCAACTTTGACCAAGCATAACTTCCACATGCTTTATCAGAAATTTTCCATCCAAATCTCATTTTGAAGAGGATGCAATTCCATACAATTCATCTTCATCTCAAAGTTCAAAATATGCACTCATAAAAAGATATGAATTTTCACATTATGGGTCCTTTTGAAAAGTCAACAAAAACACCTTTTGGGTCAAAGCTTCTTACATGAACATGTAAGACTCAATTGAGATGAGACCAAAAGGGTTGCTTAGGGGACACCCTAAGATTTCTAAAAAGTCCAAGAACACCTCTCTAGGGTTAAAATTGGAAGAGATATGCCTTGTCAAATTTGACCTTTTTTGCAAAATTGCCAAAAGTCAAATGTGCTCAAAAATGCATTTTTTGCTAAATGGGCCTAACTTTTTATGCTTGCACCTCACTTATAATGTGGTCCACGACTCAAATATTCATCCACACATTATTTGCTTCATTTTCAATTTATTTTGATTTTTTATTAATTAAAAATTGAATTAAATCAAATAATTGATTAATAATAGCAAAAATAGGATTTGATTTGGTTTTTGGACAGGTTGGCAATCAAAATATGCTGAATTATCAAGGCTAAAACGAATCAAGCATAATTGATACAAAAAAGGATGATTTGGCTCAAAATAGCAATTTTGCATATGGCTAAAGAATCAAATCAAATCTCATCAAAACTTCAAGATTC